GGAAGCCAAGTGTCTACAACTCTTCTCTTGGACTCAGGGGAACTTATTCAAAACTCATATATCTCTTTCATTGTACAAAGCAGCCCCTGAAATCAAAGGTGGTGAGTTTGAGCCCATTTTGCACTGCACCCCTATTTGCCAATGTCACTTTGGTCACAGAGGGTAACCTTTCCTTCCCTAACCAGAAGGATCAACAGAATCCCCTGCTTGAAAATGATGGCATTATTTGTGAACTTTTCCAAGGATCAAGACATGGAAGAGAAAGTGCAAACCAGAACTGAAGGAAGTCCCAGTCCCAATTATCCTCTACATGGACAGAATTGCCATCAACAACAGTGGTCTCACTTCCTTGATGCCCCTCAATATGACTCTTGGCATTTTCAATGACTTAACATGGTCATCTAGACCTGACTCATGGGGGACTATCTATTTTCTTCCATCAGGCAAACATGACAAGGCCAACAATTCCATTGACAATGTCAACAATCTTCATGCAGGCTTGCATGCAGCATTGCACAGACTTAAAGAGGCACGTAACTTGCCTGTAGACATACAGTGGTCAAACCTTCCCTGGAATGGACAGAGTTGGAGTGTCAAATTGAAATTTGTAGTGGCATTCTTTATCAGTGATACCCCACAACATGACAACCTTTGCAGCCACCATTATCAATCTGAGAATACTAGAATGCTATCCCGCTGCCAGGGCCAGCGCTTTGAAGGAGCGCATTCCTATTGGTGGGTCATTTTACATCCCTACTAGATGTAGGGGTAACAGAAGGTTGTCAATCTTCCAGCAATATTAGACTTTGGACCCCCAATGACTTCTCTTGTCTGGAACTTGGGGCACCAAAATGTCCTACAAATTGTTTCAAAAACATCTCTCATCAAGAAATAAAAGGCATTAGCACCTTTTACAAGTTAGATTTTGGAGTAAATCTGAACAGCATCCATCATGCCAGTCCCAGAGATTGGCTTCACATGCACCAACTAGTAGGATGCGCAAAGAGAGCAGCAGAAAAGAAGACCTTTTGGGGATGAACGCTTGGTTACTCAGTGCAATGGATGGTGGCACTAGCTATTACAGAGGTGTTGTTCAAAGGCAATCTGATTGCAACTTTCCTAGAACAAATTTCTCTGAATCCGTTCACATGACAAAGAAGGAGGGTGGTTAGTAAGTGGGAATGTTGTACATACAAATGCTGGTGCTTTTGTCTGCTGAAGGTAGGCACGTCCTAACATTGTCAAGAACATCAGGCAACCAAGATAAAAGCACTGCAGGACTGAAGATGAAATTGACCATCATATACCGTATGTGCGCTTGAGTTCCTTGAGTTGATATTAGGAATGGAAGAACTTCTCAAATATTCTGGTAGTATTGAGGAAGTTATGAAAGTGGATGCTGACAATGTTACCAACCTTGAGGTCAGGTAGATACTATGTTGGAATCAGTAGGAAATCTAGGTGATGATTTTCAGAAGCAAAGTGTAGTTTCGTTTCTTTGAAAAAATTCAATTTGAAAATTATGAAGTAGCATTGGTGCAACATCAAGAATGTATTTCTGAAGCTTTGATTGACATCAAGACAAAAATTCCATAAAACAAATGGTGTAGTTGGACAAGAATTTGTGATGTCTGTAGTCACTTGACATATTTTACTTGGGAAAAAGATAGCCCTAAATGTACAACTGGTTTGTACATTGGCTGACCAAGCCTATGATGATATTAAGATTTTTTGTTCTTGCAGATGGTATCTTTGCCACCTGGATTTGTTTGTGGTCAGTTATTTTGGAATGGGAGTGGTAGGAAATATCAACAAATAGGAGTATTAGGACAGATGTACAGTGGCCTATTGTCTAGGCAGTTAGATTGAGATCTTCTCAGCAGAACAAAATTTGGAAGTGATATCCTCAGTGACAAAAGAAAAGAGGTCCATGATTTTTCTGGAACCCTGATCTCCATCATTTTAGCTTTGATTTCCAAACAGGTATTGCAACTTTGGGTGACAAAGTATTCACAAAGGAGCAGGTGAAAACCATCAAATGGATCTCCTACATGGAGGAATTCCTCAAACAAAGTTGGATAATCAATGGATGAGGAAATAATTGGGGCCTGTTTGTGATAAACCAATTTGTTAAACAAATCAACAAAATATGTCGTAGGGGGGAATGGGTACAAAGCTAATCAAGACACGTTTGTACTTCCACCTGCCAAAGTACATTGAACTATAGAGCCCATCATTCAGATGGGATTCTGCACCAAGTGAGAGCCACAACAAGACAGAGGTTGAAGAAACATCCAAAAATATACAGGGTATGCCATCAACAATAATTTAGCAGACAGCAATGTGCCAGTCTGAGCTTATGCTGTTCAACAAAGCGGTAACCACACATGATCTCCCAAAACCTTGCAAAAATAGAAGCAAGAGAATGAGCAGTCTTCTGAGTACTCAAAAAGGATTATAGCTCCCCCACAATGGAATGGAATGGCAATAAATAGAAACAGCACTGCCCCAAAACCATCCTGAAATACTGTTGCAGGAAGGTATTGCCCCAAAGACTCCTTGTGCCACAGAAGTGATAATTGTAACCACTGCTTATCACACTGCAATCCCCTTTACAACCTGAGGAGTTCCTGATGCCATTCAGCAATCAGCTGAGTGGATTAGTTTGGTGCTTCTTGTTTTCACCAGAACAGTCCTCCAAATCTGCATTCCAAATAAGTTTGGTAATAGCTCATGGGGAACAGCAATTAGCTGTTTTGTTAGTGTTGAATCACTTAGCATTGAGTCTGGGTCTGATAGACTGAATAAATAAAAATCTTAATATTATATTTTACCTCGTGAACTAGAAGAGGCACTAGGATAGCCAGAACCATAACTTTTGGTGGAAAGTATGCTTCTAGTTGCTCCAAGGGGCGGCACTTCCCTCCAAGGAGTTTTGATGGAAGGGTGACCAGGGGGTTGGGGTGGCTGAGAAATTAAAAGTAATAGTTGTTCATAGTAGTTTGGATGGTAAGGGAGGGTGCGGGAGTGACCAAAGAGAGCTTTGGTGACGCAGAGGATTGATGTCATTTCTTCTTGGAGTACGCGTCAAAGATCAGCCTATCTTGTGTGACGCTCTCCGGTGGTTGTTTACTATGGTGCAATGATGGAAAATACTGTGTAATAGGGCGGGTGTTGGAGACCGAAGCACGTGTAGCTTGGGAGACACTCGCCAGAATCGTTTTCTTCTAGGCTCAATAATAATAAGAGAGCATGGAGGTAGGTGTCTGCGATAAGAATGTTTCCATATTGTCAGGGAATAAATGTGCATGAGATGGACAAGTTTGAGACTTCAACTCAAATAAGGCCTGAACTTTCATCACCACGCGCCTTCGATAATTAACTTGTTGCTGTGAAAGCGTAGAACCATGGAGATCCTTATTTTTCTGTTCCCATAATGATATGTGGGAGGTAAGAAAGAACTCCACAAGGTAGCCCCCTAATACAAGTGGGGAGTAAGAACCGGAATGAAGATCAAGATCTGTAAACCACTGGAGTCTGATAGACTGAATAAATCATTTGTAACAAGCCAGTTAGTGTAGTCATCCATAATAACATACTACAAACAATACAGTATACAGTATACTCTAAGAACTTAGCAGATATGAATTAATGCCATTGCATTATGCTGTTTAAAGCAGTGGTGTTAGAGGGTGTGGTAAGGGTGTTTTGCATGGATAGTGGTAAGGGTGTTTTAGATGGATAATGATTGAGCACTAAGTGCTAAGAAAGGGAAGCTTCCTGACCATACACAGTGTTTCAGCAATAGATCACACTATGACTTTGTGTGCAGTGTTATGGTTTCATTAGGAGACTTCTTAAAGTCATATGGGACCAGTTTTAATAGGCCTGTGACTACACATACATCCATATGAACTGTTCATTAATCACAATTCAGTCGGTTGTACAAGTCGTATAAAATACAATTCATATGAGTTGCATAGGATACATTTATCTGAGTCTTAAGATGCAATTCATTTGTATAGATCCAATTGTACATGTGATTCAAACATGGAACCATGTCGATTTCAATTTTTTGGAAAATCTCTAGACTCCTCGGCCACCCTCCTGGTAGTGACAATCTTAAAATTTTGATTGGTTTTATCACAAAAAATGTGATAGTAAGAAACAACAAATCTGTGATTGGTTCATTGTGATCAATCTTGATCACAAATTTGAGCTGGTTTGTGTATAAGTTTTGGTTCCAGTTATTCTAAAAACTCTAGATCCCCAAATTTAGAGATCTACTACCAGTGTATTTAGAATAATGGGAATGACCCAATATTATTTTACATATGCTGGTTCTTCTTGTTGTACTAGTAGTAGTAGTAGTAGTAGTAGTAGTAGTAGTAGTAGTAGTAGTAGTAGTAGTAGTTGTTGTAGTAGTAGTAGTACTAACAGGGGCCAGCACACCACCAGTCTTGCACTACTACTAGTACTAGTACTGCTACTAAGAACAAAGTCCAGCATGCTACTATGCCTTCCTCATGATGCACATGCATGTGATGACAATCTCCTAGTAGCTAGTAGTAGTAGTAGTAGTAGTAGTACTAGTACTAGTACTAGTACTAGTAGTAGTACTACTAGCTAGTACTAGTAGTAGTAGTAGTAGTACAGCAAGAATGAATACTACTAATAAATATGAGTGTATGAATATAATATATATATGAATTTTAATCTGTTAATAATATGTGACAAAAAATGATCACCAAAAAATTGATCAAGAAATTCAACAACTTTGTTGGTGGGTTGGATTAGCAGGCTCAGGGACCATCAGCAGCTCCCCCAGCACGGACACCGGACAAGCCAAAGAATCAAAAAGGGGGAGTGGATAATTAAAATTTCCCTCGAAAACAAAATTGACATGGTTCCTGAATCGTGGAAGGTCCAGTACTGGTAGCTTAAAGTAACTAGTAATGAGTCGTTTCGTAACGTCCCAGCATCTATTTCATAAAAAACCAGTTTAAATTCACGGCAAACAAATTATTTGAGCAAGAGCAACACCAAACGGTTCGCACCCGCAGAAAAAAGTACAAAACCAGCCCTGAGCTAATTTGAATACATCGTCTTCGTTGCGTTTCGTTTCGTTTCGTTTCGTTCCACGGAAACCATACCATCGCAAAACTTAGAGAAACACGACACCCAGCCCCACGGAAGAACAGGGCGATACGTTTGATCGCAAGAAACACGCACGCACAAAAGAAACTATACAACCATTCGCCATGTCGAGAGACGACGGGAAACTGCTTGCAACGGCAATGGGAGCCGCAACCGCCGGTGCCGCTCTGGCCGTTATGGCCATGAAGATGATCGATGGAAGCAAAGACCAGAGCGGCAAGGGCGGCGGCGAAAGTGCGTACAACAACAGCGGTGGCAGCGTCCTGGCCTACCACCAGGGCGACAAGCGGCCCGTCCGCACAAGCGTCATCATGAACGACCCTTCCGACCTCCACGAATCTATATCGCACGGGTCCATGAACATGAAGCGTGAGGCCTCCGATGCCATGCTCTTTCCGCACAACCACGAAGAAAAAATGCGACGCCGGATCGCCACGCGGTACACGATCGAGGAAGAAAACAACCTGGGGCGAGACTCGGTGACGGTGCGGGTGCCGGCGACCTCCGCCAACGTGGGTCCTGGATGTGAGTCTTTGTCTTGTCTGCAAACACCCTGGATTGCCTTTTGGTATATTGTAATGCGACGAGTCAAGTTGTGTTCTGTTATGCGTCGCAGTAAGATCCCGTTCGTTCCAGCACGGATAGCTGTCTCACACATCCTGTTTCAACCTGATCCTCTCATCTGACATTTTTGGCGATTTGATTGACACTCAATTTTCGAATAACAACGAACTGCACTCTAACCTTCTGTTATGCAACGAAACAAAATGAAACACAAATCAAAATCAACCATTCAGACGATTGCATTGGAATTGCCGTTGATCTGTGGTCCGAAGTAACGGTGTCCCGGGTTCCCAATGGGGACACCGTTGGTTTCGAAATCACCGCCGAGGGGGAAGGAGCCGAAGCGATGCCCAAGGACGAGAGTAACTACCTCGTAGTGGGCTGCAAGGCTGCCTTTGAGACGGCTAACAAACCCCTGCCCCCACTTAAATACCATGTCGTTTCGAGGATTCCCTATGCACGGGGACTGGGCTCCTCCAGTGCCGCAATCGTGGCAGGAATCGTAGCGGGACTGGTTCTGGCCGGGCACAGATTGCCCTGTTGGGGGTCGGAGGCCCTCCTGCAGATCGCTGCCGGCATTGAGGGACACCCCGACAACGTCGCCCCCGTCATCTACGGTGGAATCCAGCTCGGCATCCACAACGGAACCCGGTGGCTGACGGAGCGTATCTCGAATCCCCCCGGCCTGCAGTGCATTATTTTCATCCCGGACTTTATTGGCAAGACCTCGGACGCCCGGGGGGTCCTCGACAATACCGTCACCCGGGAGGAGGCTGCCTTTAATATTGGGCGAGCCGCCTTTTTGGTGCACGCCTTTGAAACCAACAACCTCGACAACCTCCGGTGGGGCGTCCAGGACAAGCTCCACCAGCCCCAGCGGGGCGGGAAGCTCTATAAATACCTCTACCCGATGATCGAGGCGGCCGAAAAGGCTGGTGCCTGCTGTGCCTACCTGTCGGGTGCTGGACCAACCGTCATGGCACTAACGAGCGGCGCCGCCGGTGACATTTTTGCGCAGCGAGAGAAGGAACGAACGGACATTTTGGTCGCCAAGGCCATGATCCAGTGCGCCAAGGATCACGGGGTGGATGGAAAGCTACTGGTCACCAACGTTGTTTCGGAGGGATGCCGGGTTACTCACGTTGACCCGCCCTTTTCCACGGGAGAAATTACCTACCGCGACAACATTTAAGGCAAACAATAAATCGAGGGTTGTGGCAGCTAGAAGATTTCCTGCCATAAGATCGATGACAGTAGGCTGGCAAATAATAACAATAACAAATAACAAAAAGGTACTTCGAATATATTTTTGAATACAGGTTGTAGGCTTGAAAGTGATACAGGTCAACAGGGGTTCAGTATGTTCTACCAGGAGGGTGCAATACATTACCTTTTGATGACGGTGGCTGTCACCCAATGAAGCAGAGACTTATACTACGAGTGTCGAAATAATTGCACAGTGTCCTGCCCGTGCGCCAAGAGTTTCAACTTCAAGTTATAAACTAAATTTGAAGTAAAGAACGTCAAATGTCGTATTTAAAATCCTACTGTGTTCTATTGCATGATTGAATCACCTCGAACCATTTTTTGTTTTGAGGGGAATCAATCAGAAGGAATCGACAGAACGACTCGACAGGTGGGACGTTTGGCTTTAAGGTTCTGATTTTGGCGGGTGCAACCACCACCTACTGTTGGCCCATGCGTGTGCATACCCCTCATTTTTTTCAGATACTGATATTTTTTCCCTTCCAGAACCCACAAAGGTAATTTGTTATCTTAAGTAATGAAAAATAACATCATGCACACACACAGGATGCAGCAGGACTGCCAAAGTACACAAAAAACTGAAGTCCTCAATGTCCACAACACAGGCACACAAATGCATTAAATGCACCTCTCCCTCCAATCAGCACTGTCACTTCAATTGTAACTAAGATAACTGATCAATCTAATTCTCACTTTGCATTGTTTTTTATTGCCACATCCCCATATATCCTGCAAGTTTCAGAGTGAGTGTGTTACATCTTGGGTTGCTATGGGAGGTATTTGTTGAAAATCAGAACTGCTTTCCAATTATTGGTTTTTTGCATGGTCCAGTACCTGATTCTGAATAAAATGTGTTAGTCAACATATCACTGTATTCCAAACAAACAATTCCATGAAACTACTACCTCAGGGCACAGTAATAGTACCAGCATGATGACAAACCCCCCAATAAAAAGTGGAGCCAACATCATCACCAATCTAACTGATGATTATGAGAATTTGATGTCAGAAAGCAAGTCTTGGGAATGTGATGTGGTATTTAATGTTACCATACCTGGTCTGCAAAACCAAGAAAGTGAAGATCCTATGTTGGTCAATCTGTCTGACCTTTTCAGGACAGAAGAGTCCTACTTGTTTCCCTCTCACTTTGATTGCTGGAACAAACATTTCAGGTTGATTATTTCTTTGAAGTTGATAAGTATATAGACTGGCTTCTTCCTTCTTGTAACCAGGGCTTCAAAAAGTCAGAAGGAGTTGGCAAAAATCAGAAAATTTGGAGCACATATCTGATTGTGCTGTCAGCACAACAGACCATATGAGAAGAAGAAGAATATTAAAAATCAAAGACAAACAAGCACAAGGCACGCTCTTTGTTGACATGATGAATGTAACTTCTTTGCAATGATATTGAGAATAACTGTTCCTTCTGAAAATCACTCTGGCCAGTGGACCTTGGCATCAACTCAAAGTAATTACTACGAGTTTTGTAACAATTGAAACCGGCCTCAAAAGAGAGCAAAAAGTAATAATTTCAAGTTCTTAACTTTGATTTGAAGTTATGAACTTTTGCTTGCACATCATGTACCAGGTTCTACTGACTGAGCTAGTTTTTTAAAATGACTGCTGAATGGCTGAATGGATTCCTGGAGCCCCTCAAAACAAAAAAATGGTTCAGGGCAATTAAAAATGGTTTGAGCTGATTCAATCATGAATCMATCATGAATGCCATCCAAAAACTAGCTCAGTAGAACCTTGTAGACTTTCTACCAGGACATTTGAAGTTCATAACTTCAAATTGAAGTTAAGAACTTGAAATTATTACTTTTTGCTCTCTTTCGAGGCCGGTTTCAATTGTTACAAAACACCTAGTAAAAAAATTGTCTGCATGTATGAATCACAGCTCTTTCTTCACTACATTTTTCAGATTCTCAGAACCATTTTACAATTTTGTTTCTGTTCTTCAATCTTAACTTGGGAGACACGATGTTCACTGGAAAATTGAGTCAGACCAGCAGTTTAGAGTATCTATCTGCACTATCAGATCAATGTCCAAATCAGATAGCAGCCTTGCATTACAATGAAATCAGTTGAGTTTCACTTCCTTGTCTGCCTCATCTGTACTGCTAAATGAAAGGGATGAGCTCCAAGCAGGAATCACATGGACAGACAAGGAAATTTGTTACTTGTCACAAAAAGAGAAATAAAACATAAACAGATTCCCATCAAAAGTTTCAAGTGCTGACAAACTGATTGAGGCAGATGATCAAGGTAATAATGTTAACTATCTGCATGTAAGATATTCTCCACTGGAGGGTCTTTTGTTGGGAATGCAAGCAAGAGAGAGAACAATGGTGGAGAACAAAGAAGTTTACCTGAATCATTTCCCACTGGATATGACTGATTATGACACACAGTCATACACAAAGTTCAAGGCAATGTACTACGAATCAAATCATGTCAATGCTAGTGGCTGTCTTCTTCTGATCTTTTTCTTTTACAGTAATGAGGAGATGAGGATGGTGCAAATGTTTCCAGAATTTTGTTGCTGCAATATTACTTTTGGCACAAAGAGAGAGACAAAAAGAGCTATTTACTTTGCTATTGGATGAAAATAATGTTGCATTCAATGGTGGAAGAGCATTTGTTCCTAGCAGCCAAGCTTGGGTATTCAATATGCTGTTCAAGAATTGTCTTTCAAGATTCTTGGGCCCTGTGGTCACAAGGAGATTTTGCTTGATGATCACTGATGGATGTACTCAGGAGTATTTGTCTTTCATGAACAGTTGTGGCAGGGACAAAGTATTTGTTAATGTGGTTCACTTGCTATGTTACTTCCATGTGGTAGTAATTGAATATTCAAAACATATGAAAGGAAGCTTGCCTCCAGAGGTTAATGGCTAGAGCATAATGAAATATGTCATCAAATGTTTGGAATGGAGTATCATGTTTGATCAACATCACAGTACTAAATTTCAGATTCATCATACATCATGATGTATTTGGAATGAAGTACCAGGTTCAGTGTATATCCTAGAATGTTTACAATTATGCTCATTGCATGTTTCAACTGTCTTCCATTGTGCTCCTGGTTGATTGCAAGAGCAGCTATGAAGGTACTAAAGCAACAGGTAAGGTCATGGTTCTTTGATATTGTTAAAACAAAGAATGAACATGAATTGTCAAGAAAAATGTTTTTCTCATGGTTAGAAGAGCTCAAAGAAAGCAAGACCTTGCCAGAATATTGTATAACCGTGGCATTTCAAAAAAAGCTGATTTAATTGTACATTTTTAATGCTTGATAAACATACATGAACATTGTTTCTTAATATCCCAATACCCCCTTAACTCCCCCACATGACCACCTTCCTCTCTTTATTAGGATCACAATGGTGTGCTAATCACTGGTCAGTGTCTGTTGAGGACCAAGATACATCTGTTAGAGTGATTTGACCCTTAGTTAACATTCTACGTGTTTTTCTACTGTGCATCAATTTTGGACCATCTAATTACTGTACTAGGACTACTTTGACTCAATGCATCCAGTCCTCTACTCAACACAATGGGCACTTTGCACCTCAACAGACAAACTGCTCACTAAATTTGGCCACTAATCCTGTGAACTCAGAACTTGGCAATACTCCTCATTGATACATTTGTTCTGTTTCTGGTTTATCATAAGGAACTGTGTCAGAGGCATTTCTCTGTGCTTTTACACAGTGCATCAATCCCTTTTCTTTCTCTGTAAATCAATCAAGAACAATACATACTGTGAGGGAGAGTACCCGTGCTAAAAATAGAGGATACTGCAAAAAGCAAGCAGCAGCAGCAAAACAAACATACTGAGCAACTCAATGCACCAGATTTTCTTGTTGAAGAACTCCATAAGGATGTATATCATAATTTTTGAATCAGATTTTTTCAAAAGCACAAAATTACACTTTGCTTATGAAAATTATCACCTAGATTTCCTACTGATTCCTACATACATACATACCTAACAAGCTCCTTCTGGCTTCCAAACCATGATGACATCCCCTTTGGAAGGGGAAAATCCACCTCCTTGGCTCCATTCAAGCAACAAAGCAATCCAATCAAGACTATTCCACGAATATCAACCTCCCTCAGCTGGTGGAAGCAGTTTACCACAGCTGGATCCATTCCCTGTTCCTCCAGAAGCACCATATGTTGTTGTTGTTGTTGTTGTTGTTGTTGTTGTTGTTGTTGTTGTTGTTGTTGTTGTTGTTGTTGTTGTTGTTGTTGTTGTTGTTGTTGTTGCTTCTGGCATTCTTGTCAGCAAGCAATAACAGCACCCCCAGTACTAATTCCCCCAGTTGAGTGCAGGTGCCTCAGCAGGATCCATCCCCAGTTCTCAAGGACGGGAAGCACCAGCAGTGTTTTGGACCAGCAGTGTTCTCTGGTCATGATTGTTGTTGGTTCCAACATTTGTGCTGGAAAGCAACAACACCAACCCCAGCCCCCAGTATTTAATCCAGATCAATCCTTTGAAAAACGATGCTTGGAGTATCTGCTACACATACTCAGTTCCAAGATCCCCAGCCTTATCTCCATGCACTTCCAGTTTTATTTACGGACTGTAAGAGTTTTCCGGTCACGATGTTGTTGTCGTTGTTGTTGTTGTCGTTGTTGTTGTCGTTGTTGTTGTCGTTGTTGTTGTCATTGTTGTTGTCATTGTCGTTGTCGTTGTTGTTGTTGTTGTTGTTGTTGTTGTTGTTGTTGTTGTTGTTGTTGTTGTTGTTTCCGGCATTTGTGTTGTTGGCAAGCAATGATAACACCAACCCCAGTGCTAATTCTGGCAGTTGAGTTGCCTCAGCTGGCTCTATCCCCATTTCTCAGTGCTTCCGGTCACAATTGTGTCGTTTCTGTCCTTTATGTTGGACAGAACCAGCAACAAACCCAAGTGTTTAACCCCGTGACTAGCGGTGACAGAATTAATTGATTGATTTCCAGTTTCTTCTTCAAGAAGATGCTCAAACAGCTGCTCCGTTTCGCGGGATCAG